CGATCTACTGTTCGGTTGTAGTTTTCCGGTCCCGGTGACATACTTGCCGGACTGCGCCTCTGAACTCCAGCCCATTCATGGCTGGGCTGCACTTGTCTGGGATTCACTTACCTATAACTTATATTCTACCACTTTTACACCTTATTAAATTATTCCTAGCAATCTGGCCTTCCACACCTTATCATATCAACTAGTTCATAACCATTGGTATACGTTCTATCGTCTATTATCTGTCAGGACTACTTTGTATTCCACGAGTCCATGAAAATCCTTGAAACCTGTCCTTGTGACGCCGCTGACCATTACACACTTAAAAGTCTCATGCGCCACTTTTCAGGAGGATTGAGGAGAGGGAACTGGCCATGTTGACGCAGGTTTCTATGCCAACGCTGGCCTGCCTGGACATCTTCCTCGGTAATTGCCTCAACAACCGCATAATTTCGCATGATGCCTGGCTCAACTGTTTTGACATAGACTCCAGTGAGTTCTGTGCGACAATTTGAGATCACAATCATTTTCAATTAGAATATAATTTTTCCACGAACCTCTCACTGCGGAATTGATGTCGTCAGGACTCATTGCTTCTAACTTAAAGTAGCTTATTTCGAAGCCGTTGGTTTTAATGGTGAGTAATCCTTTCTTGTCTTATTAACTATCACTGTGTACTCTTCTTTTTTAGGTGAAAGCGTGTCCTGCAGTCAATTTGTTTAAATGGACCTCCACACTTCTCATATGCTCAAAACGAGGATAATTCGCAACTACAGAAAGCATTGTCGGTTCCTTATCCCCCACGACCTCAGTCAACTCCTTTGGTTCTTTCTTTTCTTGCTCAAATGCACCAGAGGCTGTTATTTTCCAAGGAGCAATATTAAAACATACGGTCCTGGATCTTCATGGTCGATCTTTTTCAATAACTTCCCTGACCCACATATATCTATGGGCAGTTTGCACATGGCACCAAGAAAGGATCTTCTGCAATGTGAATCTGAAAAACGAAGAACACAAACAATTTCACAGTACTCGGGAAGACTAGTGGTTACATCAATTAATCGACACAGGTAACGAGTGTGGCTACAAGTAATCAGGACCAGAGTAGTCGGGAGTCGATTGTTCGATTCACTCCCACACAAATGAAGGATTTTCTGATTTACCACAGTACGCCCTAGTAAATGTTTGTAGTCACTAACAGTCATCTATTGTTTGTAGATGGCAAAAACAACAGGATTTATTGGATCCATGAAATTTCGAGAGAGCCCTTCAGCTGCTAACTCTCATTGAGATGCGCATGAGAAAAATACAAAATTGAATTCGTACAGAAGGGGCAAAAAGGTCATAGGGCATGGTCACGAAGGCTTATTAATAAAGTAAGCGAGTTAAAACAATGTGGAAAGAAAAACAAATGAAAAAGGAGTTAAGGGGAAAAGGTGGGCGGAGGACTGTGTAAATCAGGGAGCCGGATGTTACCAAGGGAAAGCTAGATTAACCACATGCTCCAGCTGTATACATAGGCCAGGTTTTGACCGCCGTATGTAGGCTGCCTCCAGGTAGCGCAAGGTGCTAGTTGTTCGTGCCCGAACAAGTATTTGGAAGCAAGTTTTAGGGTCTTCAGAATGACCCATATCTAGCAAGTGTTCTGTAATTGAAGAACGAGGAGTTCTATTTTCCTGTTTGAATAGCCGACTAGGAAATTGCGCTTTGGTTCTGGCTGTCACTTGCCTTTGCGTTCGCCCTGTGTACTTGCATCCGCAAGTGCATGTAAATTCATAAACATAATTCGAAGTGGCGTGCAATGGTAAGGTACCCTTCGCGCAAGAAATTGATAAGGGCTTAGTTTGAGTGCAAAATAAGAGTTCAGCAATATAGTATGTTCTTTGAATGGCGTTAAGTGGGCGGCTCGTGATGGTATTTAAAATTTTATCGCCCCGTAAAAGGCAAAGATACGAAAACAGGCCTTTTAGGAGCTAGCTGTTCCGTAATTTTGGGTCGTAATGGTTTACTATACTTGTCTTTAAACTGAGATGGATATCCATGTTTCAGCAAGGTATCTTTAAGACTAGCTAATTCTGCCTCCAATGTATCCATAGAACATATTTTTTTCGTTCTTCGGAAAAGAGTACATACCAAGTTCCGTTTCCATTGAATGGAAACAAAACTTAGATAACGCAGGTACTGACTTTTCGAAGTATTCTTATGGAAGACCGTTCGTGTAATGTAGCGATCTTTCTGTCTGGACAAGTGAACTTCGGGGAAGGAAAGCTGGTTCTCTCGATCTTGTTCCATAGTAAGGGTAATCCTGGGGTGCACACTGTTTATTGCAGACAATAATTCTTCGGCTTCCCTTAGGTTGTCGACAATCGCGAAAACATTATCTATATATCGTCTGTAGAGTGTTGTCTTGTTCAATTTTGAGCATATCTTTTCTTCTAAATGGCTCATAAATATGTCAGCAAAGGTTGGTCCAAGTGGGTTTCCCATTGCGATTCCGTTAAGTTGTCGATATAAAAGGCCATTGAACAGGAATTGGGCATCCTTCGCACACAATTGTAATAACTCCCGTAGTATTTGAGAGGACAGGCGAGTGTCAGAGGAATAAGCACAAATGGTGTCTTTGATTTCCTCCAGGGACACGTTGGTAAATAATGACACAACGTCCAAGAATATCATGGTGCCTAATTTCGTCGATAAAATGAAAACTGCCTTTCGTCACCTATTATTTTATCTTTTAAGCCTCTACGTACCAAATGGATTGCGCTAACCTGGAATAGGTCCGCTGATAAAAGCAAACAGCCGAGTTCCGGGAAGCAATTCAAAAGGAGATTTGAATGAACTTGATTAACTCTTTCGATATGAAGCGGTATGGGCTCAGTCCGAAAGCTAGTAGAAATATGGCAAGAACAGCAAGATTTATTGGATTAATGAGATTTCGAGAGAGCTATTCAGTTGCTGTATCTCATTGCATAACGTGAATCACGTAAGAGAAAATACATAATTGAATTCATACAGAAAAATCGATCTAAACAACAAGGTCATAAGAAATGGCCAAGAGGCTAATCAATAACGTAAGAAAGGTAAAAAGCTGTGGGCAGCAAAAAACGGGTGAAAGACGTCTATGGTAAGAAGTTGAGAGGGGAAATGTGTAAACAGAGATCCAATGTTACCACGGCAGTGTTAGGTTGACTACATGCTCCAGCTGTTTACATAGGTAGGCAGCGGTCTATACACAGACATGAATGCCATACGACGAGATGAAGACCTGAGTCCACTCCAATCCTATTATATTGACCAATGGGATTGGAAGGTGGTGATACGCAAGGAGGACCGAGCCTATGATATGCGTAAGAATGTTGTGAAGTGAATATACGAGCCCTTAAAGGAAGTGGAAAAGATTTTCAAGGCTTACCCTACTCTAAACCAGAAGCTGCCAGACAAAATTACTTTTGTCATTTCTCAGGAGTTTGAGGACATATATCCAGAGATGATACCGAAGGAGCGAGAACGAGTTTACTCGAAGAAGCATGGAGCCATCTTTATTACACAAATTGGGAAGACGCTAAAATCAGGAAATAAACACGATGGACGTGCGCCCGACTATGATGACTGGGACATTATTTTTTACAATGAATTACTGGACATTCGTCTGGAACTATCCAGCTTGGGGATCCGCGTGGATGAGGCTATGGAGAGACAGTTGACGCTTTCTGGACAAGAAAAAAGGAATCAGTTTGACTTCCACAGAAGACTTCTCAATTGTGGACTCCCCTACACGGTAGATGGTGGTATTGGTCAATCTCGGTTGTCTTTAGATTCAAGAGGGTCAAGAAAATGCTAACAGGCGCTTTGAATTTAGGATGACGATTTTAAAACTAAGGAGGCGATGGAATATTGTTAATCTTGCATTCTCCGCTCCGCGAATTTTGCGCCTTTTGGTTCTCCTTAATGTCTTGAAATATTTCGCCTCTGATGACTACCTACGAGAAGAAGGGCGAGATGACAGGCAACGCAGATTGCTTGGTATAGAACTGATTCGGACTTGTTTGCCTGCGTTCAATCAGTAATAATCCTGACCGTCGGCCCTGACCAGAAACGCAAATATGCACTGGTGTGTGTGTGGCAACGATGATCTACAGCTGCAACCTAGCCAGTTCATCAAGCCGACGTTCATTTCTTCCTTGCTACGGATCGGTACTCTCGCCAAGCTTCTCCGGCACCCTTCGTCGAGTCCGAAACACCTTCGCTCTTTTTGAGGGAGATCTGCGAGCACTGGACAACTCCCAACATGCCTTTGCTCCTATCGTTCCAACTGACTTAAGCCTACCGTGCTATTTTGAAAATATTTTTGGATGAATACTTCCAAGTAGTCGACTGCCAGTGTCCTCCTTTCACTTTCACTGTTTATGAAAGTATATGGAAAAAAATAACAATTTCCCAAATGTGTCAATTTCATACCACAAGCCCCGTTCCATTCGTTGCCAAAACAAGCGAGCTAGCTTTACCTCAGTCGACTTTTTGACGGTGGCTGCTTGTTAATGAAGATGGAAATCGGCTGCCAACTCTATTTTCGGTTGCGGAAAAAACCGGTAGCGAGATAGTATACCATAAACTAACACATTTGCATACGTCCTTTAAACGGTGGCCTTTGGCAATGCCTCACGTCCACGTGTACTGCGTACTCTGTGCATGTCAGTGCATCACTGTTTATTTCTTTGGTCGGTCCGAAACTTGTGCGTCTGTAGACGAAAACATGCGTCTCGCCACATAAAACGCTCCGAACTCAGTATCTGGTAATTGGACGAAAAAGAGTCACGCGTCCTGTAATATTTGAGATCGGAGTCGACACTTTAATTTCGAAGAGCAGTTGGCGAGCATACGTATACTTTCAATAAATTCTCATCGGACCAAATACATTTATATGGGACGGGGGTAAATTGTAAAAGGTAAAATTGTAGGTAAATTATGTTCAACGTTACTGGAAAATTATTCCATGGGAATAGGAAATAGGGAAATAGGAATACTGACAAATGCACTAAAGGAGCTACTACTGAAGTGCACACTAAATGTGCAATTCTCTTTGACGGCCAAATATATAGACAAATAGATGGCGTTGCCATGGGCTCGCCTCCGGGACCTCTTCTAGCTGACATATTCATGGGCAGGCTGGAGAAATTTCAACTAAGCGATCAGATCCACAATATAAAGCACTACGGTCGCCACGTCGATGATATCTTCGTGATCGCCACAACCGAAACCGATAGAAACGCACTCTTAAACGCGGTCAATCAAGCACATCCATCCATACAGTTCACGTTTGAAATGGAAACAGCAGGTTCGCTCCCTTTCCTGGACGTCCTTTTAAGTCATAGACCTGACGATAGTGTCCGAAGGAGCGTGTATAGAAAGAAAACCTGGTCTGGACAATATAC